GAGTACAACTTGTGTACTTAAAACTATCAGAACAACTGGAGAAGGGTACCTTCAAATTTGTTAACTTTTTAATCTGGGAAGTTGCCAGAATATACACTAATTTCATAGCGAAGGGAATCTTTCTTTTGGATTTTTCTAAAATTCGTTCTTTTCTCCATTTCTTGCTTTTTTACTGTGTCTTGTATAGTGTGCATAGAAAGAAGAAAGCATCAGAGTTTCATCTAACTGTGCTAATAGTACAGAATTTTGTAAATATTTTGTTCTGGAAGAATATGCAAAATTTTGCAGAATTTTGGAAAAAAAAATTTTGCAATTTCTACATGGGGCTACTTTATGAGACGATATTTTTAGGCAGCAAGCAATGCTATAAATACAAAATGAAAGATTATACATGAATAATATAGTATTGTTGAAACGCTACGACAAATGTCATCATAATTAGACTTTTTTTCGACTTCAAATGTTCAATATTTTCATTAAAAAATATAATCTTTTTGTAAACTTTTGGCGGATCAAGAGTGCAAAACTTGATTTTAGAAATAGTTGTTTGAAAGAAAATTATATAGGGCATTTCATTAAACATTCTACAATCATTTGCTCTTAACTATAGACCATATGCATCAGAGTTGCAGAATCTAACCGTATGCGCGTACGGGCGTAAGTGGAAAATTTTTGGAAGCTGTGAAATTTTCCAACGGGAAAAATGTAGAATATTTTCACATAAGAAGATTTAACAAATTTCCGAATAATAAGAAATAAACCAATAAAATCCTTTTCTAAGCTTCAAATAAGGAAATTTTCCAAAACTTTTACTGTTCGTGGAAAATTTTGAAACTCACGGCTATATTGTGCACCTCTGATATGCATGGTGAAATATGTAGCCCTTTATTCAATCACACGACGCGCATCGGGAGTAAATACATGTTAGATGAAAAAGAAAAAGTCGGGCAGAAAATAATATCGATCTTGACTCTTTAATTTCAAAGTATAAAGTAGCCTTAGATTCGATGATCCGATTCGATCTCAGAATTTAAAAGAATATATTACACAGTATCCCTGTGTGTGGAAAACGAAACGTTTTATTTTGAAATAACTTTTAGATATCGTGCCAGTAAATGCATATATGTACATAAAAAGCTGTACTTTCATGGTATTACAATAGGACGACATTTTCTAGGATCGAAACAACTTTAATTAATAAATGAAAAAATAAACTGAAGCTTAATATAGCCGTTGTTAGAATCGTATCCTCTCAATTCGTTTCCTGTTCATTCACACATTTATGAATTTAATGATCTATTACGTCAAGAACATATCTTTGCGGCGCCATCACGCAGAAGAATCTGAAGTCCAGACTGGCAAACATAAAAAAATTTACAATGAAATTGATGAAAAATTGAAAAAGCGGAGTTAACAAATCTCGAAACACACAAGACCTTACTGGCCGCGATTTCAGCTTTCAGAATCTGCGAAAAGTTTGGAAAAAATGATTCTTCAGGTCGAAAAGATAAGAAAACTCAAAAAAATAGCCAAAAAACGGGGTTTTTCAAAAAAAACACATGTTTTTCGACTCTCAAACTATGTTCATTCGATTCCTCGTCAAAAACCGAATACGTCGTTGTAGGTTTGGGCGTGTCACACGCAATCCTCAGAAGGACAGTGAGAAAATAATTTTTGAAAAACCCGTTTTTTGGCTATTTTTTTGAGTTTTCTTATCTTTTCGACCTGAAGAATCATTTTTTCCAAATTTTTCGCAGATTCTGAAAGCTGAAATCGCGGCCAGTAAGGTCTTGTGTGTTTCGAGGTTTATTATCGCTTGCTCGAGCATCTAATCTAGGAAGAACGATGGTGAGTCATTTTGGCCGGTTTTGGATAGATGGCGATTTTCTCGGTCAAGGATGTGTTTTTTCCAGATTTTGACCTTATATTCGTTACTAGCGTTAAATTCTGCGTCTAGTGAGGTGTCACGTATCCACTTTGAAGAAAAAATTTTTTGGATGTTGTACAGGGAGACCTCAACCTTAAAATTTTTGAAAAAATTGAAAGTGAGTTTTTTGAAAATCTGAAGTGACAGTTTTGTTCAGAATTTGATGCGGATTTCAATCATGTCATTTTTATTCGAAAAGAATTGAGGCCACAAAACCGCCTTATTCGCTTCCCTCCTTAAATAGAAGAATCGTCAATCAAGGGGGAGATTTTAAGTGAAAAATTCGCTTAAAAATGTATGTGGACAGAGAATAAGATGTACATATATATATCCATAGAGAGATAGAAACACGTTGTACAATTATTTGATATATAAAATACTTTGTTTGTGCTGAATACCATAGATCTGGTTTTGCTCTGAATCAGTTATCTACATCATGGCAAATCAGACATATGATAAGAAACTTCCGTTACCTGAGAAGCTTTCACTTCATTTGCATACTGTTGTAATGTTAAATTAATGAATTAATGAATCTTTATTTCAATTAAATAAATACAAAACAGAGAGAGTGCTAAAGCAAATTTTTAAGCCCTTGATCTTGAACAAACAAATTGTTTTTCTTTGTTTATTTCTACTTTTCAATTACTTTGCAAAATTTATCCAATCCTTTCTAGATACGCTGGGCAAAAAAAGAAGCGTCCAAAAGTCGACGCTTTTTAGTGGACGTTCTTTTCATAAAATCTTGGTATGCTGTTTTACTGGACGCTTTGGTTACGAACGAATTTTCTCTTATGCTTTTAAGTACATGAAAAAACAAAATTTGAAGAGATTTCTAGGTAATATCTGTCTGAGTTTGGACCGCACTATCCTATGAAAGCGGGAAACGGACTGTTGCTCGCGGACAGTTGCTCGCATGGACTGATGCTCGCATGAACTGATGCTCGCTTGGACAGATCTTCATCGGACACTTGCTCCCCGAATACTTTAAATAAGAACAATAACGTAGTTTATGAAATGTATTCAAAGTAATTAACAACGAATCGACAACGAAGTGTTAAATAGGAACCCTAAAATTGTTTATAAAACAGGTTCAAACTAATTATTTCTTATATTGAATAATTTTTGTACACTTATTTTGTACACTTAGTATAATATCTGCGGAATTTTGGGAAGAGTATAAATTACAAAGAATTTTTAGGCAAGGTATCATGATGTCACGCTCAGAATCAGTAAGAAAATTTTATGAAAATTTAAAACAAGAGACTGCGCATAACTGTACAATATTTTGACACAAAATTATATTGGTGTTCCCGACGAGATTCGTGTAATCTTACCTACTAACGCAAATTAGAAACGAGATATTCGTCGATGGCGTCAAGATGGTAACCTCACTACAATTCCAACAGATAAAAATTTCAAATCCATTCCAGACAAATATCAGAGAACAACGCGGGGTATAGGTTTTTTATTATTATATTTTTAAGTATCAAAATGTCTTGTGTTGTTGAAATAAAAATCTTTATCATACATTCATTTAGGCCGATGGCTTTAAACAACGATATGAAACAGACGTTGAGTTCGCCGATAATATTCACAAAATTGCCTCGCTACCATTTCTGGAACCAACATCAGTAGTAGAAGGTTTCGAATTATTATGTTCAAAATTTGGTGATGATTATCAACCTATTCTAGATTATATTGAAGACACATATATTGATATGTATATAGACTCCAAAAATCCACCAAAACTGTTTTACATTGTTTGTTACATTATTTATTCAGGTCGAGTTCGCGGTAGCACAAGAAGAGAACCTATGTTTCCAGTTCGTTTCTGAAATATGCATAACCGAGTTTTGAATAATCAACATGAAACAAATAATAAAATTGAAGCGTTGGCACCGAAAATTAAACTATGTATTCCAATGTTATCATCCGACTTTATGGACATTTTTAGATAAACTGACCAAGGAAGAAAATAATTTACTTTCAGATATAGTGAATGCAAAATCTGGCCGTGAACCAGCAATCCAGAAACAATATGAGTCACTAAATAAGCGCTTGCATAGTTTGGTGGAGAACCTTAATCCAACAATTTATGATCAGTTACAAGCTATCGGACATTTACTGTCGTTATAAATGGTCTTTGCTTTTTTGTTTCCTGTATAGATAACTCTGTTTGGATTCGTATGATTATGTGCAGTCTCTTGTTTCAAATTTTTATAAAATTCTCATAGGTCCCGATGAGCATCTGTCCTAGCGAGCATCAGTCCATGCGAGCAACTTGTCATACGAGCAACTGTCCTAAACCCATGAAAGTACGCCTCACCTGCCGCGTCGATCCACCATCGCAAGAAATCAGGCGCTGCAGAAATAAGCTAGTGCAGTGGCATGATTCATTCATTCACGCAGTATGCACTTAAATACTATGCGTATCATCTAACGCCTTTATTTGGATGAATTCTTGGGGACTCATTGTTATCGACGCTTTTTTGGACCATTCTTCTACGTAACTGTCTTTTAAGACGTTAGTGACAAAAGATGAAATTCATTAACACGTCTGTAGCACATTCTAAGACAACACCTACTACTACAAACATCTGAAAAAGTAATTTCATCATAGTTTTGGAACTAAAGAATGTGTAGACTACAGAAACAAAGTGCACTATCGTTCGCATCAGCCACCACACTTATTCACAACGGAGGTTAGTGTACAAACACGTGAAATTGTTCTTAACATTTGTCTACAGTCTGCAGTAACATGATCTAAACAGCCAATATAGCGATATGCACATGAGCCATACAACATGATGCATCGAGCGGTATCACTATCCTTATCATGCCATATTTCATTAATCGACAAGATTTTAAACGGTATTTTAAATGAAGTTAACGTTCACTGATATTCATCTCAATTCGATCTTCCATAAAAGCAGTAGCACATCTGAGTAATGAATTAAATAAGATCTTTATTTCGGAAAATATGATACAGTAGAGCTAATATCGAATATGTACGGCGACAAAGAGAGACAATCTGTTTTATTATTGTTGTATGTTTTTGTGAACTTTTGGGATCTATTATAAGTGATTATGTAGGCTTCATTGAATTTCTAATTCCCTCCTACAACTGCTTTAATATTTTTACTCTTCTTTTTACTGAGTATTCGATGAAGTACCCATTGGACTGAAGAATGGTCAGCAGGAGGATTGGCAATTTCTGTTTCTTTAATCATTAATGTATATTGAAATCCTTCTTTATAATGAAACTTTTCAATATTATTATAACTAAATCGCCATTTATCGTTGGGTTTCATTTTAACTAGAAAACAATCCATTGGAATCATACCAAAACACTTTGCTTTATTTTGTGCAACATAAATAGTTTTCATAATTGGTTTTGCATGTGCTTGTATCGCGCTTTTCGGCGGATCTATACACATTGCTGCATTAAAGAATATCAGAGTGAACATTATTGATGTAAAAGCGTTCATTGTAATGTTTTTAACTAGCTCCTCAATATTTATCACCTAAATGAAAACATCTTAAAATAAATAAGAATTTGTTGGTCCTACATCTAACGAGCTGGCTGTATCGAAGTAAAGTAGAGCAAAGAATTTCGTAGCAGGCTTCTAAATAGCGGTCTTATGGCTTCGAAAAACTAGGGAATTAATTACTTCTTTCACGTTTTCAGGATGAGAGTGAATTAACTATTCGAACTAACAATTTCTAAGTCAGAGTAATTATTTTGCAAAAGCAGAACGCTGATCCATATTTCTGCTGGTAGAACGATGAGCCTTATGCTAGACACTTTTCAAGTGGGAAAAGGCGTATTCGCCAAACAGTTTCCATCGATTAGTGAACTGTTAATCGTGTGTGCAGCAGTAAAAACTCAGAATCGAAAAAAATTTGTGTCAGTCTGCACAACTAATTATTCTTAAGACCGCCTTATCAGAAAATGTTATCGAGAGCTTACATTCGATCTCGACAAAACTTTCAGGAAACGTTGGCCGAATCAAACCATAGTTACGATCAAATCGGCAAGACTCCATCTTTTGCCCTTCTCGAGATGTCGGCCAAACAAAAAAGAAGTTCGTATTTGCAGAAATTCTCCATCACCGTGCATGTCTGAGACCTCGTAGACGTTTTGCATGTAGCACGTCGATCTCATAAATCATCCACAGTAAAGGTATGAAATTTGTCAGAATGGAAAAGGTGTTGACGTAATCAAGTTTTTCATGTCAATATATTATTTCATGACACAGAGGTAAAAAATTATGACTTTTCGACATTTTCGAAGATGGCTTACAGATCATCGACACAGTTGCACCGTAGATATCAGAGGTGGGCAAATCCTAGTCCGAACTAATGAACTATTTTAACCGGCCTATGACTAGACTGAGACTTGACTGCAACTGATTATTTTCGCCGGCATGACTGATTTTTTAGATCAATCCTTCAACTTTGGATTTTAATACAGACAAAAATCTTTGATATAGGCATTTAAAGAAACAGTTTTCATTTCGGTCATAGACACAAGATAAAACATGTAATCATAGGAGCGAATGGGAAAAAATGTCTGGCTCGAACTGAAAAACAGAGGATTTGCCCATCTCAGGTAGATATTAAAAAGAAAACAAAGTGTAAGATAGTCACCCTTAAGATCATCATCAATATATGTTAATTTTAAATAGTATATTCTCTAGTTTCTACTCCTGCAAACCTTTATCGTCTTTAACCCTTTCAGGACGGGGAAGTTTTTTTTGAAAAAAGGTACAAAAATTAGTTTTTAAGGATCAATTGATTCTAGTTTTCAGCCCAGTTTATTAATATGACTTTAGAGTGTGATAGTCGCGAAAACAATTCGGGATGCACAAGCCTACATTGCAGTCTGAACATTCGTATCAGGTACGAGATTGTTTTTTTGGTCGCTTGACAGTTGAGCTGCATACAATGCACCTTCGAATTTACTAGAAGATACTATAAGAAGAGGAAAGAGTAAAAACTGAAAAATATGTATGTTCTATAGAAAAAGGCAAGAAAACATATGCTTCGACACGTCACAACAGAACGAAAGACTGTAGTATATACGGTGTACCACCCGTCCCGAAAGGGTTAAGTATCAAGAGAGACTTTCTACATTCGGAAAAAATTTAATGAGTGTACAAGACATGTACAACTTAGAGATTCTAATTCAATTAGGTAGTATTGATTGCACTGCTTATTAATGTTTGAAAGTTCTATGAATTATAGTTTGCTAGTTCAGTATCTTTATATTAAAATCTTTACATTACCTTGTAAACACACAAATTCCCCGGGTAATATTATGATTATGAATCGTATTCCCAACAACGTATTATAGAAGATACTAAAAATGCTTAATTCTTTTTCTCTTGCAGAATAATAATGTTTTCTGTTTCGATGAATATATCTTTTTTTCCTATACTAGACAGATGGTGTAATTGTTAAGAGAAAAATATGTTTGGTTTCAATATTGGAATAACCCTGCAATATCAGCTGGATTATGTTGAGTGTTACTTTGCATAAAAAACATTTCCGTATCTACCAATAGTAATTATTGTTGTGCATAACAAAATATAACCAGAATGCATATTTTTATAATATCTTGGACAGAAAATAAAACCATGCACACCATTTATAGACTAGACGTGTTTACATTGACCTATGAAAAATCGATTTTATTCAAGAAACAAAAGATACAATACAACAATAAAGATAAATAAATGATAGCAGAATTTAACAAATAATAAGCAAAGTTTAACAGCACATTATATCTCATAATTACTAGAAGTAGACAGTACTGTGGCTTTGACCACAAAACTAACGAGGGAACCTCTTTAGGTTATAAATCGCTATTGAACCCGTATTACTTGTATCTTGTAGACCTCAGTGAGTAGTGAAATACCCTAAGTTGATTCATCCCCGTGGTGCTTTGTTGCTGAGATATTGAAGTTTTACTCAGTTTTTGCACATAGAGCTTGGATTTCGAACAAAATCCGACTTTTGAATTTTGACTTCAAACTTGCCACACTGGTAGCCCATGGTCATAGTAGTACGACAAAAAAATATGCGATTCTAATAAATTTTACTGCCTTGAGATATTGAGACTCGAATATTTGACCCTCATCCTCGCTTCAGATGAATTATTCGAGTCTCAATATCTCAAGACAGTAAAATTTATTAGAACCGCATATTTTTCCGTCGTACTACTATGACCATGGGCTACCAGTGTGGCAAGTTTGAAGTCAAAATTCAAAAGTCGGATTTTGCTCGAAATCCAAGCTCTATGTGCAAAAACTGAGTAAAACTTCAATATCTCAGCAACAAAGCACCACGGGGATGAATCAACTTAGGGTATTTCACTACTCACTGAGGTCTACAAGATACAAGTAATACGGGTTCAAAAGCGATTTATAACCTAAAGAAGTCCCCTCGTAAGACAAAAAGATAAAAACATATAATCTCATCAATCCAGGGGTGTAACCGCAATGCGATACCGGCACCGGTCACCGGTATACATACTTCGTATCGGTACCGACCGGTATACCAGTGACTGGTTTACCGGTCGGTACCGGTTTATCTCGATCATACCGCAAAATACTAGTAATATCGACCGGTATACGGTATACCGGTAGGCGTTATAATCCGTACCGGTACCGGTATACTGATACCGGTTGCACCTCTGCATCAATCATGCTCTAACTCATATTCTATTTCTGTACGAACAAAATGATTTACATCATAAGGCAAAACTAAACACTTTCTACGTATTGTGAAACATGGTACAATAAGAAATTTACAAGAAGAAGAATATACAAAACGGAACAAATCATTGATTCGTCTTGCCCATGACATGATCTTGTTATCATTTATTTAAAACAAAAGATGAAAATTCAGTGGTAGAACAACATATTTGTTTGAAAAATAAGTATTTCTTTAATTCAAACTCAAAAAAGAAAATTTCGTCAAAACAATAGAAGTACGGGTATTATAAATTAGTTACACTAATCGAAAGACTGACAGAACGTTTCTGGGTGTAAGAAACAGAATGATAGATTAAAAAGCCACACTCATAACGAGAAAAAAGCTTAACAGAATTTGAGAAAAGCTGACCAGAAAACCGAACATACATAAATTGAAACTGTTGCTGTACTTGAATTAAAACATCTTTACAGTCGAAAACCAGTATCTAAAAACTCGTGGTAGCGATTAATTACTTCTCGCGTCATCTCTGTAATTGTTGTTCTTGTTGAGTGATCACCACGGGTTGGAGGCATTATCCACACTTACCTCAACTGAATGCTGATTAACATCGTTTGTATGCTGCTGAGATTGTCTGGCAGCTTGACCCCGCCTACGAGTCCGATTTCCTCTAGTTGCAGCTGCTAAAGATTTAAAAAATATTAATTATAATTATTAATGAAGTTGATGCGTAGCTTCAACAAAACATACAAACGATCTTTTAGCATTTAAGAGACAGTCCGTGAGAAAACCGCGTTTTTCTTACATACTTTCCACCTCCTCAATTTCAAAATTTGTGTTTGATCACAGATTCTGAAAGAGCATATACGATTTCGTCAGAAAACTATTAAAAATTCTTTTGAAAGCCCTTCGGTACAGAGTGCCGGACGTCTGAACTTCGGGACCTATTAAAAGTGATAATTTTCGTACTTTTCAGTGTTATCGCCGTAGTTTTGTCATAAAAAGGGCTACAGAGGCGGTCGACATTTTGTTTGATAGAGGATCAAATAGAGATTTAGTGCTGAAAGGCGAGGGTTGGTCCGACTTAATCTCGCTTTTCTAGGGTCAAAAGTTGAATTCATAAAAACTCACCATCAGCTTCATGAAAGTTAATGAATTTAAGCTAACTACCTATTGCTTTCTCTAATGTGCCTTATTCGCATTTGGCTTGAGCGGCTAGGCTCTTTGATCTTTTCTTTGATCTGACGGCATCTTCTTTTGATTCGTGGCCAATTCTCCAGCATTTGACCGCGAAATGCGACTAAGGCTCATTCTTATTGCGTCATTGATTTCGATCCTCTGATGTTGTGAACAGTGAACGTTATTGGTCGGTCTCTCGATTGTTTCTCATCCTATTCATCAATTTCACCTTTAGAAGACATAAGAGAGCGAATAGAATATGGTAGAACGGATAACTTAATGAAACCATTAATAAAATTAAAAACGTCAACAATAATAACTTCGCAGCAGGACATAAAAAGCTGAAACTCCGCGCACACGCTTATACCGGTGTCCCTGGATCCTATTTAAAATTTGAGCTTTCCATATTGAAATAATCTTTTCTAGTGAAAAAGTCGAAAATATATAGTACAGGGAAACTTGTGCCATCGATATCTCAGGAGTCAGCATGCACATGAGATAGCAAAGAATGAAATTAAGTGTGTTAGAAAAAGCAAGTCGAGCTGCATCTGTGGTTAAAGTCTCTGATGGGTACACGGCATTCTCTCGGAGATATACCAGGTCAAGTTTTTGTTGTAATTTGGTGACCCCACAACTGTTACCGACACCTGAACCGACTGTGATAGATGATGTGAGCAGATATATTCGGAAAAAAACATGTATACACACTTACTCATTTATAACTCCTTGTTAGGTTCAAAGCTGCAGTTGATTGTTGATAATAATAGAAGAAGCTATATGTTTCTCACCGTTTTCTCGATGCAAGTCCGCTCAGAAAAAGTTTTAGTCCAGTCCATTAGTATCGAGCAGGCTCAAAAATGTTCAGTCCAGTATATACGGAGCTATAGGATATATTTATATATAGATGTGTATACATCAAAAATATTTTTAAAAGCCCGGCAGATTTTTAGGTTTGAATGTTCGTCCATAGAAACGTAGGCATTTTGCTAGCGTACACCGATACGTAAATATAGGGTGCACGAATGTAGTATGAGATGAGAAAAAAAATAGGTTCATACGCAAAGTAGGTGCATGACGAAGAATGAACGGTTAATAAAACACTGGTACTATTTTAGATTAATGTTTATTGGAACAAGCTCGCTGATGGATTTAAAACTGTTTTTTGAAAATTAAACGTTGAGACAATTTCTAAAAAAGTTGATATAGTTAAAACTCCAGTTAAAACTATGAAGCACAGTTAAAACTATCAACTCGGGTTGATCGATATAACTGTGGTGGAACGGGTTACAACTTAGATGGATAGAGTTATAACTATTCCAACTCCAGTTATAACTGTCGAAATAAAATTATTAAAGCTTATTTCGGCCTGTATACCACGTTGTTCATGACAATGTGCTGAAGAATAAAATCCTTCATAATTACCGTGCGAATATTGTTTTATTTTCTATATTTGGAACATTTGTATGTAGTTGATAAATAATTTTTGAACGACTCGTATGCCATGTACAAACTTTATGACTTTCAATAAATGATGAGATATTGTTATTAGTAATAATTGTGGAAATTACTAACCAATTTCCACGAGATATTTCAATCTCACAGCGTAACATTTTTGCAAAAATTTGCTGCTTATAATGAAATTATAGGTTGTCAAATGATGCGATATGTTTCCTTGATCATGTTTAGTTACTAAATACGTTAGTATTCTTTTCAAAGTTGTCTACTTTTGGACTAAGCAGGTTGTTACTTCATTGTACGAAATGTACAACTTCCCAGATCCAAACCATGTCTTCTGATCATATAGACGAAACAACACATACTACATGCTTTTTTCCTTGATCTTTTTCATGTTTTAAATATAAAAAGATTTATTCTGCATCAGCGAGATTTTTTGCATGTTTTTTCAAATTTTTATCAACCGGGATCAAAACTACGTTATTTTCGTGATCATTTCTCATTTTGTCCTAGTATTATATTGTATGTATGAAATTACATTAAAAAATCATCAAGAATATATAGGAATAGAGACTTTGATGTAACGAATCGAATGGTGTGATTTGTTTTTCGATTCAACATTTTTCATTTAGAAACAACTTTTTCTCTGAAGTCTCTATGTAAATTGGCTAGAAAGATCGAATTAGGAATTGAGCAGAATAGGAAGGAAGAAGGAAGAATATCCCACCTTGCGGTATAGGGTGCTGCCAAAGCAGTTTCGATAAACCCGGTATCTTCCCTACAGCTGACGATCTTCAGAGACAGTCACACGTTCTTCTACTAGTCACCAAGCAAGCTGTAGCTCTGGACAGAAGACCAGTCTGACACAGAGTTCTTTTCGCCCAATCGCTTGAGCTCTCCATACACACTCACCAACCACATACTAGCACCGAAGTGCCGGTGTATGTCACAACGTAGTGAGCATGCTATCAGACGGGTAATCCGAGACAATAATCGTTAGTAACTTGGCCAAGGTTATTCTGTGACTGAGTGGCGCCGAGGCTCGAACACGGTACCTTTGGAATACATGTCGAACAACATAACCGCTCTGCCATAGCGGCCTCAGAAGCGGACAACGCTCACACCTTCCTTCGGTCGGTATTCGCTAGAGAACTATCCACAATATGTGTGTATGTATGTCCTTCACACCGTGTGCAAATATCTGTGTATCTCAAATACCTATTCGATCTCATTGTCATCCAGCGAAGTTGAGATAAACATTTCAACCAATAGAATCGATCCTAGAGGTCGCTCATAGTGATTTTCTGATTCTCCATAGTCGACTACCTACACCATATAAATTTGATCCATTCAAGTTTTGCTGTACTGACTGACTCTACTATACTAACCAGTCAAGGGAACAGACATAAAGATACAGCATCATGCAGACATCAAAAAGATGCAGATAGAACGCTCTTCTTATATGACGTCATTCCTTTCTGCAGAACAATTCCATCAATCTCTTTGTTCATCATATTTAATCTATAAAATGCCTTCCTTGCTTAAATTATTCAGTCTTCAATTTAGTATATAAAGCAGAATGTATTATACTGCTAAGATCTCCCTCATTTCAAATGCTAAAGTCTAACTCCTTTTTTTCATTCTACTACTGAGACTTTCAGCTGCACAATGGTGGAAGACGTTTTGGAAAAAGTTCAAAAATAGGGTGAGAATAATGAAATTATTTCACTTGTAAAAGTAATTGCTGTATGAAAAGAAGTTTTATTTTCACTTCTGCTTGGAATGATGATTCATAGAAGACATCAAAAAAGAGAGAAATATAGAAAAAATATTCTTTTCATTTTCTCGCATGTTCTGTATATCACATAAGAAAAAGCACTAAATGGTAGAGCTCTAATAAGAACAAGAAAAAGTAATGTTTCGTTTCTGAGAGATAAATTATTTTTCTGTTCTTTTCTTTTTCTTCCTTTTAGACCTTGCCATTACATAAACATGCTTTGATGAAAATATAAAAGCATCCAGATGACTGGTTCGAAAAAAGATTGTGCAATACATCAAGTAAACCGTTTCTATTTTACCAACCAGTAGGGTAGCTATTAAACATTAACTAGTCTTCGGTTTCTTTTTTAAATGGCTGCGAATGGCGATGCTAAGACAAATCCAGCGTTTTACAAACAACCAGTAACTCAACTTTCTAATTTCATTGGTCAGTGGGTTGAAATATACAATGATAATCCCCACTATAATCTGACAGATCGTCGAAATACAACACTTTCTGTACTGCCACCACTTAAATTTCCATGTTTAATGCAAATTGTAGATTATGACTATTCAAACATCGTTACGCAAAACATTCGACTAAAATGCTGGCTGTTGGAAAATGAAGTAAATATGTCCACAGTTCAATCATATTTCAATCCTTCTTTTGCAAATATGGAACTGACATGGGTCAAAAGATGGGTTACATTTGATCAGAATTGGACATTTAAATTTGTTGATGAAAGTGAGCTCAGTAGCCATCCATCGGCTGATTTCATACGACAGAAAGGTGAAATTTATCGCATTTGTGGCGACCGACAAGTCGAATATGGTGATGGTGGTCAATCTGATCTCGTTTATCCTATATGGATCAATGAACGCCTGTCCTTTCCAGAACACAGACGCCAGAGGCTGACTCGAAGACTCCTGGAGCTTAACGAACAACGCCAGGATTTTCATCCAGAACCATCACCAGTAGAAGATATTATTGACCCAGATTTGTTAGCTTGTCGACCTATGAATACACGTTCATGGACTGAACGGCATTTGAAAGAGTTAGAAGAACAGAAAAATACATGGCCATATGAACGTGATTTCAGGTGTTTCAAACGGGATTTAGCGCAGGGGGAATATGACCAGCTGTCTGATGCAATTAAATTACGTGAAACATATCAATGGTTACCATCGGAATTCATCATTAAGAAAGATGGTAAAATCGACATATGTTCACCCATTTATCAGTTACCGGTAATCTCAGAAAATAAACAAACTTATGGTGACATAGCCACAATATTCAGTAAGATGTTGCCAATGTTTGAGAAAATGAAATTAATTACATTAGGTGGTAGTGGCGAAGAAGAAACGAAGTTACAGGTGATTGTTAAAGCACAAAGTTATAACCTGAAACCAGGTATGATACGTACTGAAAAATTTCGTTCTGTTGTATCTGGAAACGTATCAATCGAAAAGCGGAATCTAGAAAGAGCTGTGTGACAAGAGGGAGCTAGTAGACAGTGCTGTACCTTACGAAACGGATGAGTTGGGTTGCACAACTTATCGTCACAAGACTAAAAGGAACAGGGAGAAATGCTTCAACTGGCAGTAGATATGACATTAAGTCACGACTACATGGCGCCGATCAGAGTTTGCTAATTAACAAAGAGGTGCTGAACTACGCTATTTTTGTTCCCATGATTTTATTTTAAATAAGCTGCAGGCCCAAAAAATTATTTCTAGTTTTTACCACTCCAAATAAATTAAACCCCCCCCCAAAATAGAAGGCCACCCTATATTAGAAGGGCACCCTAAATAGAAGGCCACCTCAGAGGCAATTCTGTAAAATCCATATTAAAAGGCCATGGCCTTTTATTTTGTCTCATG